GGCAATTTATGAAATAGATACTCACCATTTATCCGAGTTGCATGAAGCCCAATAAGTTGTCTTCAACCATTTATGTAAGTTACATTTCCTGCAAGCTAACAGAAACAAAGCTGTAAATGTGAACACTTTTCATACAGGAAAACAAATTGATACAGCTGAGACAATTTATGCTACGTTAGTTTTTCTCAGTCACTTTTGGTGCATTTCTCAAGTCATTGTTGGCATTTACAAAACAGTAAGTGCATTTCTCAAAACAATTTGTAGAAACAGCAAAAATAGCATTTGTTTGCTTGAAAAATCCTTAGTTCAGCTCTCAAAATTCTGTCAGTTAACATATCAGTGACTCAAAATAAGTTATAGCTGAATGACTAAATTGATTAGTCATAGGAAGAGGCTACAAAATTCACATTTACGCTTTTGCTGTAGTTTATTGATGGACCATCAGAAAGAAAAGGACAGAAATGCAGAGAACAAAAAAAGTAGAAAAGGAACCACAGGACAATCTCCTCATGGAAAACTGTACAGTGCTGTAGAAATTACATAATTACATTACATTTTAATTGCCATCATCATGCTGACAAAGGTTCCTGAGTGGGGTTAAGGAATGAACAGTAGGGTGGGAGGACCTCCATCAGCATCGTGTTGTGGGTTGCAGCCATATCCTGATGTTGGACTGATGGAAACTGGCAGATGTCCTCAGCCTCTTCTGACTCTTCTTCTGCTTTCCTACCATCTATTTCCTCCTCAGCCTCACTCCTCTTCTTCTCTCTGGCTGTTCATTCTGTCCAGATACTTGTTCATCAGTTCTCAGACATGTAACATTGTGTTGTGTTCTGGCTATATAGAGCATAATGTTGCCAACTGATGGTTCACAAGATGCACCTCCAATCTGTTTCAGAAAACTGGTTGATCGTTGGTTGAGCTAATGGTTCATACAATGACCTGTTAGAGAAACTCAGGACTCACTTGGGAGCAATTTACTAATTCAGGACAGATTTAGAATAAAATATGATTGACATTATGACAACTTTAAGACTTATGCACTTACACAATGAACTTATGCTGTTTTGGAAGTTGAGAATTCAACACAGACACGTTTAACATATTTTGATCAACACGATAAAAGCAAATTACAACGGGGGGAAAGCAGAGAAGTGCACATAATCAGTTACATGATGTACAAAAGCAAAACTTGCAAAAGGAATGAGCAACTCATTTTTTGATGTGCAGAAGTGACAGTAATTTGAAGATTGAACAGGTAGTTTTAAGAATTTCAATTCTGTTCTCAGAAATGCACCCAAACTGAGAAAAACTGTAAAATATTAATATTTAAATTTCCTGATCTTAAAACCCTTCAACTGTCATGGACCCAGTGACTTTAGTGTAAGTATTTTGGGGGTGAGCGTCAAGAGGTCAAAGGAAAATATTAAATATTAGCTCCAAGCTTTATACTTCTAAGTATTACCAAAGTATTGAAACAAAAGCTAACGTGTTCTTCACAGATTTAACTTGCATTCATGAACATTTCACACTCAAAGTAATTCAAATTAATTATTGAACCAAACTTGGAAAAAGTTGCTTCTGCCATTAACAATAACTTTAAGCACAGTCTAAAGTAGACCAGAAATATAATCTATGCAGTCCTTCCTACAGAAACATTAATGGAAGTGCTGCGTCTGGGAAAATTAAATGTTCTATATAGTAAAAATATCTAGCTGCAGTGCATGTACATAAACAGCATGGCTCAAAAATTACACATTTCTTTATGTTGGTTAAAGTTAGCTAACTTCAGTTAAAACCGTGAAAGGGACTCACCTGTGATGCAGAGATGTGTTTCCTTCTCCTTCTCCTCCTGAACGCGCAAAAATAGCAGAAACTTGATTTCAAAGACAGGAGCCGCATCCTGACAAGGACCAGGCCTACTGTGCTCTCAGCACCCTGAGCTAGCACCTGCTAGTTAGCAGCCTTAGCTAGCACACTGTGACTTTACTGTGTTGAGTTCAGGACACCACAGTATCCTGAGCCACGCTCAACTACAGGAACAGAGTGAAAAGAATCTTGCTGCTGATGCTGAAGGATCAGGCAGCAATGCAAACTAGATAATTATTTGTTTACATGACAAATTACAGTCTCCATTTACTGTAAACCCTGCTATTTATCACAATAACAAAATGAAAAACTCTAGACTATTCTCCACAATATTTAGAACCAAGTGTGGGATTTGTGAAACTTCAATGAAGGGCAACTTCACAACTTGTATGATTTTGGATAACACTAGAATTGTTCTTTATTGAAGTTTCACAAATCAAATAAAGGTTTCACAAATCCCACACTTGGTTTTAAATATTCTGATATGAGTTGAGAATAATCTAGTCCAGATTTGAAGAGTCTAGGTGTTGTAGTTTTTTAGCTAAAGTAAATTAAAGATGCTGATGGTAGTGAAAAATTAGGTGGAGCCATTTCCCAAATTAGAAGCAGCAATTGGAAACCAACTTCAGCTTCATCCAAGCAAGAGGGGCTAACATACAGTTCTCTTAATGTATAAGAAGTCTATGGTTGGGATAAAATTAATCTCAAATGCATCATTTAATCAAATACTCTCATAAATGATGGAGGCGTTGGCTGTAGGAGTTTGCTTTGATCGATGTCTGGTCTACTGTTGACATTTCAGTTTGGTGTATTAAAGGCATTATTAAAAAAGAAACCAAAATATCACACCAGCATTCTGTTCTTTGTAAAAATTACTTTTGCAGTCTCGTTTACGGTTTTACATTGTAGATATAAATATCAGCAAAATTTGTAATTTTGGCTGATTAGTACTGTGAAATTGAGGATAATTAACTGCTGGCAATATAACAATATTTTTCTATGAACTTTACAATTACTTATATTTTTACAATATATCTCTGTATGTTCTACATTCATGACTGTCAAAATTACTTAGGATATATGTTTATTGAGTTATGATAATTCCATGTAATTTCTATGGTAGTTTAGTGCTTTGGATATTACAGTCAGTAACTGTTGGTATTTAACAATTTTCTTACCGTAAATTTACTGACTTTTTTTACAGTGCACACACACACACACAGTAGAAACACACACACACACACACACACACACACACACACACACACACACACTCACGCAGTGAGGAAACATTGTTCTTTGGTTTCACCTGAACTCCCAAGTGGGTGGAGGTCAAAGTTCAGCAGCTGGAATGGGAACCAGACCAGTTCCTGTCATCCAGGTGATCCAGAGAACCCGCTGACTGGTACCGGACCAGAACCCATCCCAGTGATGCTCGGCTCCTCTGGTTTTTACTTCTGATATCTGAGGGTTAGTGTTGGCTGGTACCGATCCGATTCAGAAATGTTCTGAATTCCAGTTTGATCTGATAACTGGGAACCAGTTCAGCTCACTGAAATCCATCAACAGCGCCACCAGCTGGCCCGACAAGCAGCTTCCAGTGATGAACCAGCAGCTCGTTTCTCTGGAAACAACAGTAAAATCTGAAAAGTGCGGTGTGCATTTATCTCACAGTTTTCAGACTCAGAACTTTGGAATATCTGGAAAACATCTGTAGCTCTGTAAGAGAACATCAGACCTTTGGGTCTGGACTTTGACTACACCGTTCTAACCCATAAATCACTGGCTGCACGTTCAGGCTGGTCTTCCTGCTGGAAGCTGACCTTTGACCCCAGATTCTGTTTTGCTGGAGATTTTCCTGCAGGATGGTCCTGAATCAGCTCCATCGGGTTCTGGTCAGGCCCAGTTCTATAAATAGCTGAGGGTCTGCTTCCAGCCGGGCCGGGGTCCAGAACCGGAGCAGGATTCATGTTGTGTTTGTGTTGGAGCAGAGTGTGGGACCGCTCACTCTCGCTCCATTTCTCTCACACGCCCACGTGAGTGAGAGTGAGAGAATGTGTGTGTAGATCTTCTGGGGTTCAGGTGAAGCAGCAGAGGTCAGAGGTCATCAGCAGTGACCTCAGCAGGTCGTGTTGAGCAGAGCTGAATGCAGACATGGTTGAACCTCTCAGGTCCTCCTTGCCTCTGATGTCCAGCTGAGCTTCGTGACGGTGAGATTTTCCTCCAATATTCTCCTCTGGATATTTATTGACTGCTCTGCCTGTCATGGTTCTGGTTCCAGCTGGGTCCAGTTTCAGCCCAGAATGTTCCAGTTTTGGGTTTTTCTGGGCTGATTTATCTTCCGGCGCTCTCTGAGGACGGACTCCTGCAGCAGAGGCCACCGGCCTCCCCGCAGCGCCGCAGTAACCCGAGTCCGGATGATGACATGGCGGCGGAGCCAACGGCCTGTTAGCGCAGCAGAAACTGCTGGAGTGTGTAAACGGTGAGGTTTACTGAAACAACAGGCCGAGTCTGCTGGGAGCCCCGCTCCGACCACAGGGAGGTTTTAATGATACCGTCCAGGAGTTCTGGTCCAAACCCGGAGCCGGAGGGAAGGAGGAGCGGGGGGGGGGGCAGTCTGAGAAAAGATTTTAGTTTGACGGAGGAAGACGCTCAGCGTCCCACACTGTCTGGAACAACACAAAAACCTGGACCAGCGTCAGTCAGGGAGCGCTCTGGACACGCATGGAGCTGCATGTGGCTGCAGCGCATGGCAGATGTAACACAAGCTGCACACGTATGGATGATGCAAACTGCAAAACACACAAACACAAAAAAAAAAAGCACAATCACAGAAAATGGAATCAAAAGCAAATGCGAGCAGGAAATGCTGCAACTGCAAAAAGCAAAAGCAACCCTGGCTCCACCAACAGAAATCCTCCAAACCACCAGGGGGCGCCGTACCGGCCCAAAGCCTCTGTAAAGACGCCATAATTTACCAGAAGGCCCAGAAGAAAGAAAACCTGCGTAATACTTCTCGTCTTTTACAGTGATATAGAACAGCAGCATATTTACGTTGCTAATAGAAATTCTGGACGCCCCCTGGTGGTCTGGACCAGCGCAGCTCCTCGGGTCAACATGGAGCTGTTGTCATGGAAACGCTGATCCTCCTGTTCCTGCCGTCCAATCAGCGCGCTGCGTGCGGAGCCGGTCCAGCGGAGGTCATCTCCTCTGTAGGTGTGTTGGCTTCGTGTTCCCGTCCTCACCGGGACGTTCTGGGCGTCCTGCCATCAAACACACTCGCAGCATTCCTGACCATTTATCCGAAGTGATACGGCCTCCCTGGGGGGGTTCTCACCGGAGGCCCGGCTCTTACATAACGCAGGAGATGAAGATTAAATGACTCTGACATCCATCAGCAGAGGAGCTGCCAGGGCCAGATTTATTTTATCTGCATCTTATCGCGGCGCTCCCCCTCGGAGCCGAGCGCCGAGCCAACCGCATCCACGCATGCTCCTGATGGATCAGCTGACAGGAACGTCGGCGTTGTAACGGCCCGTGGTTGCCGTGGCAACGGATCTGCAGCTTCTCAGTGTGCAGAAGACATTTTTACTTCAAGGTTTAAATGTTCCCACAGCCCCACTGGTCCATAAATCAATTCAACAGTTCCAGAAAAGTTTGTCCTCAAAGACATTCATGATCGTTTCTCTTTGTGTTGAAATCTGAAAGTGAACCTAAAGAATCTCCTGATTATGGCCGCGACTGTAAAGTTACAGCCAAAGTTAACAGCAATAATCTGGGTTATTTAAGCTGCCATAACAGGTAGAAATGGGGGTTAATCATTCAAAGTCATATTTTCACCATGTTATTCATTCAGTTAGAAATGTCACTAAATATTTATACAGCCCATCCACTGAATGCTTGGAACTGTGTGACATCTGCTACAAAGTCTGACTTTACAAGAAGATTTGCTGAAATTGTTGNCAGTTCAGTTCAGTTCAGTTTATTAGTCGTTTCATCTGGAAAAGTTCATTCATTTTGATCTTAGTTATCCGTCAGAGCATCAAGTTCAGTTCATGATTCTAATTGGTCCAAAGTTTCTATCTGAGGAAACCCAGCAGAGCGTGGCAGCATCACTCCTCCTGACCAGCAGGGGGCGACAGTGGAGAGCAAAAACTCCCCTTTAACAGGAAAGAAGTCCAGTAGAACCTGCAGTCTGGTACCGATACGTTCTGTCAGCAACATCTGGACCGATCATCTCTCTGATTATTATATGAGATAATCTGAGATTATAATCTGGATTAGCAGGGAGTCGATGAAGAGAAATCCAGTCAGGATCCAGACGGTAAACTGGGAGTTTTCCACTAGAACCAAGTCTAGTCGGTGGAGTACAGAGGTTCTGGATCCAAACCCAGACATGATTGACGTCCTGGTTTCACCTTGGTGTGGCGTCGTCTCCAGAACCGGTCCAGACAGAACAGCTTGATGGTTCTGTGACGGTCGACCCAGTTATCTCCATCAGAACCATCAGAACCGGTCTCTGCTCACATCCCTCAGTGTTTCGGCAGCAAAGACGAAGGCCTCCGTCTCTGGAGACATGAAAGCAGGAAGTTACCTCACAGTTTGAAAAGTTCGACAAAGTTCTGCCTGTCCGCCCCGCTGAGCATTCTGGGCTTTGTTGTCCAGAACAGTTGGTCTGTTTGGGCCAAGTTGGTACTTTCCACTCTGGAGGGAACCAGATGAAGGTCCAAACGTTCAGCCTGAAGCCAAAGCCTGGGATGAAGGTTTTACCTGAGCCTGGCGCCCAATCACAGCGGAGCGACCCAGCGGGCCCGACTCTGGGACCAGCACCGGTCCCTATGGCTGGCCAGCGAAGCTGAAAGCAGGAAGCGATGGCTCATTAAGGTAATTATGGAAAGAGGAAGTGGAAGTTTGCCGAAGGATCAACCGACACAAAGAAGGAAACGCTGAGCGGGGGATCTGACAAAGACGCCTGGCAGGCGGAGTGATCGTCTACCTGCATCCGCCGCCCGCTGGACCCTGCCCAATGCTAATTGGTCTTCATGGAAACGGTGATTATTCATCTCAGGAGCCGCGCTATCTGTGGCCAGAACCACCGGACCATCAGGCAAACTGTTAGAAATGTGCAGGCAGAGAAACGGATTTCTGCTCAGTTTCAGCCTGAATCTGCAGACAGGTACAAGGCCTGAAAGTTCTGGTTCTGCCGGGCTTCCACTCTGGTACTGCTGGTTAAACCAACCCAATAAACACAATTCATGATGGAGAACCGTTCCTCACCTTACAGTCACGATCAGGAATGGGACTAGCACGGCATGTGGAGAACGGCGGGGTTCTGGTTTAGGTCCAGTTCTGTTTGGCTCGTTCTAGAACTATGGATGGATGGACGGACGGACGAGTATATCTTCACACCTTGTGAAGGTATTTTTGTTCTGAACCAGATTGCAACTCTGTCGCTCAGACTGGATCACTGAAATCTTTTTACTTTCAGTGTTTCTCTGCTGAATAAAACCCAACGACTGCTTTGTTCTCACTGATTCTAGATGTTGCTGGTGGTTTCATGATGGTTTCTGGATGTTGCTGATGGTTTCTTGATGGTTTCTGGATGTTGCTGATGGTTTCTTGATGGTTTCTGGATGTTGCTGATGGTTTCTGGATGTTGCTGATGGTTTCTTGATGGTTTCTGGATGTTGCTGATGGTTTCTGGATGTTGCTGATGGTTTCTGGATGTTGCTGATGGTTTCTGGATGTTGCTGATGGTTTCTGGATGTTGCTGATGGTTTCTTGATGGTTTCTGGATGTTGCTGATGGTTTCTGGATGTTGCTGATGGTTTCTTGATGGTTTCTGGATGTTGCTGATGGTTTCTTGATGGTTTCTGGATGTATCTAGCTGCATTTTCTCACCCCAGTGTTTCTCTTTCCAGATTCTGAAGTAATCTACAGGAACAGCAACGGCCATGTCATCAAGTTCAATCTTCTCACCAATGAGACTGAGATCATCCTGCCAAACACAACATTTGTAAGTAATCCTACTAGATGAAACTAATTTCTCCGTGTTTTATGCCATTACCTCTGGCTCTCTACATGGGGGGGAAGTGAGATCCCTCTGGAGTTCCTCAAAGCTCTTCTTGTTTTTGGTGAGTTGGTTGATGGACTCTGCAACATTGTGTGGACATCGGAGCAGTTCTCCTGGTTCAGAGCAGTGTTGTTGCTCCTATCTCCTATCAGGGGGGATGTCCTGCCCCAAGGGGAGGAGTTTAAGCGTCTGCAGTGAAGCGGGCGCTGTACCGGTCCGTCGTGGTGAAGAGAGCTGAGTCAAAAAGCAAAGCTCTCGATTTACCGGTTGATCTACCTTCCCACCCTCATCTATGGTCATGAACTTTGGGTCATAACTGAAAGAACGAGGTCACGGATATAAGTGGTCGAAATGAGTTTTCTCCAAAGGCTATCTGGGCTCTTCCTTAGAGAGAGAAGCTCAGTCATCTGAGAAGGACTCAGAGTAGAGCCGCTGCTCCTTCACACCGAAAGGAGCCAGTAGAGGTCTGGTTAGGATGGACGGCTCCCTTTGTTCATGTCCCACCAGGGAGGAGACCTAGAGGAAGACCAGGACGTGTTGGAGAGATGATGTTCCCATCTGGGAATGCCTTGGGATTTCTCCAGAGGATCTGGACACGGATCAGAAATTGGGTCCCTCCCATAAATGATCTGCTAAAAATGTTTTGTTAAAACTACTGTGAGAATAAAAACTGTTAAGCTGTTCTGCTCTCTGTGGTCTGGAAGGTTATTTGTGTTAAACAACAACACTCTCGCTTTCGCCACTGCTAATGCCGTTGACACATACATGCTAAGCTAAGTGCTAGCTTTAGCTATGGAGGGAAACGTGGAGAACCTGAATGAAATGCCCAGAAAACAACCGAAACCATCAGAAATTTGGAAACATTTTGAACTGATTTGAAAAGGTGACAAGTCAGTGCAGCACTGCAGAGCAGAGTTATCTTTCTACAGCAGCGCGTCCTCCGTGTTGCAGCTCCTCAGACCTCAAACTGTGTCACCAACAGGAATTGTTCATTTTATTCACCTCCATCTGTGATGATCTGTAGCTAATGCTACATATAGCACCTGATCATAGTAGCTAGCTGGCAGAGTGTTAGCTTACTACGCAGTTCTTAATGCGAATGTGTAAAATGATGATAAAGTCATGGAGGAATAATTATTGTGAATTATTGTGTTTCTGCTGTTTCAGGTGAACTTCAACGTGGCAAAGTTTTCTTTGTCTCCAGATATGAAGTACGTTCTGTTCGCCTATGAAGTGAAGCAGGTGAGTCCGGTGGAGTCAACCACATGCTCTGCAGCCGCCATCTTGGGTTCTTCTAGTCTGCATCTCACCTTGAACAGATTTAGCACACTTAGCATATTAAATAGCATATGCCAGTGGTTTCCAAACATTTTCTGCGCCCCCCCTCCCCCCCC